AATAAATGAGCCAAGCTTCAATGATGTGGTTCAACATTCCTAGTCTAGATATTTCCAAGTTTGTGGTGGTTCTTTCTGCTGCAAAACTATTGCTCTTGGCTGTTGACTTCATGATTTTAAAAATATGTATTCTTCAGCCCAATAAGAATGTCTGAGCCACCTACTTCCACCTGGTGACCCCATCTCTAATAGGACTTTATAGGAACTTTTGTTCCCAACAGATATTTGAGAACACCTGGGGAGAGGGGTATGACCCTCCCCTCATAAGATCTGGACCACCCTACAGAGGGGCCCTACCTTAATAGCCAAGTCACAGTGTTCGCTGGCCGTGGTCAGCTGCTCGATGTGCCTGTCCACCTCGGCCACCGAGAGGCTGCAGCTGCTCTTCTTCCTGCCGCAGACGACACTCTCCAGCCCCGTCAGCACCCTCTGCAGTTCTGAGTTCAGGTCGCTGCAGTTGTCTGTGAGGGATGTGGGCAAAAGGGCATCAAGCAGTCAGGTGAACAGTGAACACTCTTGCTCAGCTCGCCCCAGGGGAGAGCCTCAGAAGAGGATGTCTCAGAGTTAAAGACTTCCCAGGCAGCCAGGACTGTCTAGGAGGGGTGGAGTGGGAGCTTAAAGAACGTGACGAGGACTTTTTAGAACATGGCCATTTGACAAATGACTGCCACCCGGAATTCTCTCATCATCATGAGAAACAATCATGGAGCAAGTTTCTTTAAACAGAACAAAGAGTTGTCTCAGAAAGGGCCTCTTGCGAGTGGAGATGTCTTCTGGTCACCTTTCTCCACGCAGTCATGCACTGACTCCAGAAGGCTTTCAGTTCAGAAGATCTCGCAACTTCACTACATACATAAAAAGCCCCAGAACGAGTAGAGACCCTAAGCATTCGGAATAACAGAAACTGAAAGGGAGACAACCCTTGCCTTCAAGGAGCCTATAACCAGGTTGCTTTTCTGAGTCAATCTACATGATCCATCACTACAATTTAATGTTCTTCCATGAAGGGAACAATAACTATCCTAACGAATTTCAAATTGTTTTCTAGGTTAGGCTATTGATTGGATTCTTACTTTAAAATTTTTTTTTTTTTTCTTACTTTAAAATTTAAGTTGCTTTTGTTTCGTACCCAGGGCCTGGTCAAGGAAAGAGAATCAACTGCTCTCTGAATGTATACTAGACATATCTTGGAAG